CATACTGTGTCTACATTAGGTTATAGTCAAGTGTTTGGCACATTTTATTTTTATTCACCATATTTGTCGGTTATCCTTTCCATTTTTATTACATATATTTATAGACTTAGTAATACGAAACCCCTAAATTAGTTGACATTAAACTTTAAAATCTACTAACAAAAGTAACACAATGAACTCCCGAGGTTCTTTTTCTAGTCATTATCAATCTCAGAAACGTTATCGAGAAACTCGAACCGCTGAAAGGTACGAGACGTCAGAAAATGTTAATCCAAATGGTAATATTGTTTCTGCCTTCTCGAGTCTAGACGGTACGAATTACGCAAGGCTCCACGCTTTAAAAAACAATGTGTACAACTTTCCCTTTAACCAATCGGCTACATTGACATTTACACATATTCAACCAGATCCTTACGCACCAGGCAGCCAACTATGCGTGACTGTACCTCTTCCTCAGTTTCTTTCTGTGACCGCACTCCTCTCACCCTACTCTGGAACTATTTCAAACCTTGCGTCTGCCTGTAAAATGAAAAGGGACCACTATTTTGAACTTGTGAAATGGCATTGTCGAGTAGCGGTGGAAGATTTTTTATTGAGATCTCTATGGAAAGGGCTACGGGAGTATCACCGAAGTGGTAACATTCAACTATTGAAACCTTCACAACACGTGTTACCGCGAAGTTCGGTTGCGATCACAACCGATGCGATTCAAATCTTTCTTCGCGTGAAGCTTCCGGGTCAAGGAAGGCGGATTGACAGTCAAGCCTGTCTTAGGATCCTAACAAAAGAGCTGCAACCTGCCATTCAGCATAAGGTCTGTGTCCTCGACGAATGTGAGGTCCAACGCCATGTAACCTCAGTGCTCGATCAGGTTTGGTTGCGGGAACAGCTGCAGCCGAATGATTTGGTGGCTTTTGTGCGGGATGGGGCCGTTCTGCCGCGTGCCGCAGGGGATTCTGATCTCCCCATGGACAATGCCGTCCTTTTCAAGTCGCCGCACAGTTTAAATCGAGTCTTCAAGTTGCCTTTTAGCGGCACGTCAATTACCGGCATGGGACTGCCGAAGGGTATCACCTTAATCACAGGCGGAGGGTTTCACGGGAAGTCAACGCTTCTCAGATCTCTGGAACTTGGGGTGTATAATCATTTACCCGATGATGGTCGCACGTTTGTAGTGATCGATCCCACCGGTGTTAAGATCCGCGCGGAGGACCGCAGAAGCATCCAAGGTGTGGATATCTCGCCTTTTATCAACAATCTACCTTTTAAGAAGGATACGACCGCCTTCACGACGGACGACGCCAGCGGCAGCACAAGTCAGGCGGCGAATATTATCGAAGCGCTCGAGTTCGGCTGCACCGCAATTCTGCTAGATGAGGATACCTCGGCGACGAACTTTATGTATCGCGACACTCTCATGCAAAAGCTTGTACCACGGGAGTTGGAGCCGATAACGCCTTTCGTGGAAACTGTCCGCGGCCTGTTCACCCAACATAGCGTCTCCACGATTATGGTGGTTGGGGGGTCAGGGCAGTATTTATCGCGCGCTGATTTGGTGTTAATGATGAACAGCTACACCATCTCCGACGTCACCTCGAAAGCGAAGGAGCTGGCGGCGGCTGAGGAACAACTTCACGTTGAGAAGGAGAAATCAAAAAGCGATGAACAAGATATCAAAGAGGAAATGCCGTGCGGAAGCCGTAGCTATGTCGAGTCGGCGCCTCTTATTAAGATACCGTTGAAACGCCATTTGGACTACGGCGGTACGTTTAACTGGACGTGGAATAAAAATGGTCGAGACTTTGTAAAAATAAGCGGCACTGGGATGAACATCATTCGCGTTGATGATGAAACTATACATCTAGACTTAGTTGAACAACTTGTAGAGGAGGGGCAAGTCAACGCTATTGCGCAATGTTTGGCGCTACTACGAGATGATGGAGCTGCGACGACCGAAGAAGTTCAATCCCGTCCTGCGAAATCGTATCCTGGGCAGGGCAGAAGCAATAATAATCGTGATGATCAATTGACGTCAAGATGGTGTTATCCCTCTCTAATTGACAGCTTCCTTACGTTTCAACCAGGAGATTATTCCCATCTAAGCCAGCTGGTTTTCCACTGTGAAAGCAGGCTTCGCCAAGCTGCGCTGGAATGCCAAACCAAATCGTGCTACTTGCCTAGGGGATTCACCACGCTACCACGTGTATTCGAAATCGGAGCCGCGTTGAATCGACTACGTACATTATCCACATATCGGAGATGAATATAAATTTAATGTACAGGTTTTCGCATGATACGTTTGTCTGAAATTCTTTGATTAAAAGGTTTATATTCACATTTTAAAATCATTACTATTATTGATTGCTTGTGTTTTTGGATATATGCTTATGTTTGTAGTAATCATGTTCTCACTAGTGCTATTTTCTTACGAATCCTGATATTACTCTCGCGTTGACAGCACCTAGATGAAGAAAGCATATTTAACGAGAGAGAAAAACTCACTAAATTGATTGTGTGTTAGTTTGTAGGAAGCGATGAGTAGATGCTTTTAAGTCTTCCCCTACAGAGACAATCTAGAGGATCAGGGGTCTATTTATTTTTTGATCCCTATTTTTGATTAACAGATTGTTATGATAAATTGGTACCTTATAACTATTTCATGGGTCCCTGAGAAGGATATGTCTATACATGCGAGAATGAATGAATGCGAATTATACGCAACGGTGACTTTTTCCTTACTATGTTTTTAAAGGAGTAATGACAAAGTTTTAAGAAGCGGACGCCACAAATTTATTAGACATAATTAAAATCGACAAAAATGCAAAAAAAAACTGTTAATATGTTGGGTATATAAATCTTATAATGTTGGATGTTTTTCTGTGAAGTTCTGTCCAAGCACTACAATAGATGATAACAAGCTCATCAGTTACATCTCCACATACACGTATGCGTAATATGTCTCTCTTATGTACATTGATGGCGACATAATCTCAGTTATCTTTTCAACTTTCACAACTTGGAAAATGTGGGGAATGATACTGATGATGGTTCAATTCACGGCAAAATTCATAGAGAAAGAAGCATACCTGAATGGCGATGTTAATCAAGTCAACATAGAAAGGGAGGGGGGAAATGAAGAGTGAGGCCTCTACATTAGATGTAAAACTGTATTTCTGGTTTCTCGTCTTTGTTGAAATACTTACCTAATTGTTGGAAGTTTCTCAATGAGAAAAATCGAGACCAGATTATATCACTTGTAAAATTTACGCGGATTGTGAAAATGATAAGATTGGTAAGTGTTTTAGACTTCCTGATAGGGTTGATTATGACAATAAAAAAAACATCATGGGGGGAAACGTATCGATGATTGATCAGAAATTGGAGGGAGAGAGTAAAAATGAATTCCTGTGGGTAATAGGTTGACGACGATAACACGACCTCTTCTTGACGATCATCCTTGTGCTCTATATTGTTCCTATTAATTATTATTCAATAAAAGTACGCCATCTATTAATTCAGATGAAAAATTAACTGGTACCAGTTTCATGATAGCCGAGCTATTGGTAAATATATTCAAATGTTGTATATTCTCCCTATTCTCTTAAAACACATACCACAGTACCCCACGATAGCATATTGGCTCTGTCAATGGTCATGACAGAAGGGGCTTAATGTGCTAAAGGGAGGGTGTATTACTGGAATTCTCAAAAAAAAACTCTATTTTCTCCTCCTGTAAGCTTATATGGTGATTCATAGTAATACCAAGTGGAGGGTAATTCAAATGGGAAAAAAAGAATGTTCTCTTTCGACCGACAATAGTCCTTCTTCCTCTGTCCTTGTTCTAACCTTATTAGTTTTCTATGGTGTTTATAGTCAGAATCTATAAAAACCTTCACAAACAAATAATAGTAGAAGTCAATCTGATCAGATATTTTATTATCATTTAAAACTCATTTCACTCTTGATAATATTCGCTTGCCCTTTCCTGCGTAAGGGCTTAGACGCTTTCGACTCTCTGTATTTTATAAACTTCATACAAGCCTAGAATTTATCCTTCGCTTGTACTTGATTGTTATATTGCTGTGCTTGTCATTGTTCTGTTTAGCAAATTTGAACGTTGCTGTGGAGGCATTCTAATTAGATTCAAATGGTTAAGCACTCAAAAATGGACAACAAAGAGTGCATTCTTCCTCAACTTTCGCCCGTACATATACAACATCTAGAGCAAGTTGTTAACCCGTCTAGTGACTGGACAGCACGTCTAGTGCGCTCACCTCTCCACAAAACCTCAGAGATTATCCCTACCTCTCAAAGCACCAGTAGCGGTAGCAATGAACTAAACAACCTTTCGCGAGGAGACGAGTTGAGTAGCAAAATGGCAGTGGTGCCTTTTGTTCGGTCGGCCATTCAAAACAGCACCGATGCGGGAGAGGTTGCGGTATCGGGTGCGCTCACAAGCGTGAATACCGCCTTATCCTCGCGCCGACTCTGCCCGACGTGCTTACGCCCTTTTTACAGTTATGACACTTCGTCAGATGCGGAAAAAGAAGAAATGGGGGAGATGGTGGAGTCACGGATCGACGGAACCTCACCACACGCTTACCCACATCGACGGAGCGGCAGCCGGATGCTCACGTCAGCGTACTTTCGAATGTTGGCAATGCAAATGCCGCTTGCGATTGGGGATAGCCCAGATAGCGCGACGACGCGATGGAAGCAGTCGCGGAGGTCCAACTCAGAATTCTACAAGGATGAAGAACAAGAAGAGGAGGAAGGAAATGAGAACGACAAGGAAGGATATGCTACAAATGACCCTCCTCACCCCCTGCCTTTATGCTACTATCTAAGTCCAACCGAGTCAATGCCGCAGGATTACGCTACAAATGAAGAGGGCATGCTTTCAAATAGCTTCTCGAGACAAATTCGACCGCCAAGGACGCTTATGCGTTCATCTGCCGTTAAGCACCGCTATCTCGCGGAGGATTCCTCGTCGCCGCCGCCTCTTGTGAGAGAGACGGTACCGTACCATCAAACCCACGATAACGACGTCAAGGACGATGATCCCCCGTGTGAAGCGTGGAAGGAGCGGAATTTTTCTCTCAATACCATTTCGGGGCTTGACGGGTATTACGCGCGATACTTCATCGAGCTTCAGAAACTTGGGAGCGGCACTTACGGTGGGGTCTACCTCTGCCAGCACGTCATGGAGGGCATTCCGCTTGGCATCTTTGCGCTGAAAAAGGTTCCTGTTGGGGACAATCTCATCTACCTACAAAAAGTCCTCCGCGAGGTGCGCATCCTTGGCGAGGTAAACCGCCACCCCAACGTTGTCGAGTACAACCACAGCTGGGTTGAGACCGCACAGCTGGCGGACTTCGGCCCGCCGGTGCGGTGTCTGTTTATTCTAATGGAGTACGCCACAGAGGGGTCGCTAGATGCCTATATGGAGCGCCACGGCACGGCGCTCTCCACGCTGGCGGTGTGGTACTTCTTCCTGAGCGCCGTCGCGGGGACGACCCACCTGCACCGCAAGGACATCCTCCACCGCGACCTGAAGCCGCAGAACCTCCTCCTGACGGGCACAGCCGGGGCCCTGCCGCGGGTCCTCGTCAGTGACTTTGGCACGGCCGCACTGCTGGGGGACTTGGGCTATGAGCGAACCGGGGGAACCGGGACGCTGGAGTACATGGCGCCCGAGCTCCTGGAGTGTGACACCGCGCCCCAGCAGGGGAACTACCGCAACCGTCACACCAAGGCCTCGGACACGTGGTCGCTGGGGATGATCCTGCACTACCTGGCCTGTAACGCGACGCTGCCGGGGCGGTGGGGGGATGGCGAGGTCGCGCTCGACCTCGAGGCCAACGCGCCGTACGCGCGGCCGCCGGAGATGGTGCAGCTGATTCGCGCGATGCTACAACTGGAGCCGGAGCGGCGGCCAAGCTGTCAGGAAATCCTCCAGTCGACCGTCGCGCAGACCATCCTGCGAAGTTTCAACAGCCAGACTAAAATCCCGGAGATCCACTTGTACTCTCCGTACGTCGAATTTCCATGCCCGCAGGGAGTTGCGCCTTACGGAAAACTTTCACCCGAAAGGCGGCCACAAGCACCGCGCATTCGAAGTAAAAAGGAAGAGGAGGTGTACGACGATAATCCACACCTACAAAGTAGTAAAGTGGAGCTGATCTCCACCTCGGCGATGATGAACATACCGCTTTTGATGCAGTACCACACAAACGATGCGATGGCGGCACGAGGCGGAAGCAAAGACAGCCGCGATGATGTTGCCATCAACGCTAATAGCTTACTTTCACTTCGCTCCAGTGAGTCCCCGAGTTCACCTTCAACGATTAGAAGATTGCCGAATAACATCATAAAGCCAAATATTGCGAAGCCGCAAAATCGGCTGTCCTCCACTTGGGCGTCGCCTCGGTTTGCAAAACAAAACACCGTAAGCAAGTCTGTTCAAACCGACCTTTCCCTTCCGTTTGACGTCTAAAATAATAACAAGGATATATTTGTACAGAAATAAATACACAAATACGCTGGCTGTGTTTATGGAAAAATACGTAAATTTCAGTTCATGGATGGATGTTTTTTGCTCTTTTTTTTCTTTTGGGACAATTTATTGTCGGTTTTTGTCTCATACAACAACCTCGCACAAATCGGTAGACGATGTTAGGATGAAAAAAAACACTTCTGTTTTTTTTTGACTTTCCTCGTTTTCCTCACGCATTAAATGTTTTTATATATATAATTAACCTTTTGAACGATTAAGTTATCAGATTCAATAGTTTTTTCCTGCTCATATGTCTCAGTACGCGTAGCAATTTAACTCTGGTATTGTTCTGTTTGCTATGCATTTTCTTCATTTGAATTTCGAGTTCTGATTAATTCTTCAGGAGATTACTACAAAGAGAATTTGTAGTTATTAGTTTTCTTTTTCTTTCGTGAAGGGGATCACCTCAGGTCCCAAATGCTTGAGGAACAATTATAATTATCATGACGTTAGTGAGTGTGTGAAAGTGCGAAATCATCAAAATATATATTATAATATAATATTGAGGAGTTTAAACACTTTCTGTTCAGAAATGCTTTATTGTATCCTTTTATTGAACAAAAAGAAAAAAGTGTACTCTTTCTGTAGACCTGTATTTGTACTGTTTTCCTTAGAATAAAAATGGAGCAATATAGATCACAGCATACTCCCTTGTTAGATAATGCATTTTTTATTATAGAAATTCTGATGGATATTATGTACGCGGATATTGTACTCCAGGATCGCTGCGCGAGCTGTACTGGGAATGCCCTTATTGCAAAACATGGACCAACCCTTCGCGAGCTGGTATCCTCCAGAAAGTTACCATTTGGGCTAAAAAAAGCCATTGAAACGTACTGCATTCGGCATTGTCTATCGTGTGCCCCTGAGCTCATCTTGACAGCACCCAGTGCGATGGATGGAATTCTACAGCTCGCCAAGTGCTTACAAAACGAGCATCATGAAACGCCGGTCCGGCCGTCAACGAGGTCTTCGTCTGATAAAAAAGAAGAGGATGTTCTGGAGCCAATGAAGCGAATTGGGGAATCGATCATCGAGGACACTATGCAGTTGAAGAAATCTATGGACATTGAACGTCATAAGCATTTAATTGGTGCATTGGGTGAAGTTATACTGAGGTTCATCTTTCAGGCCGCTGCGGAATGTGAACATGAAGACAGAGACAGTATAACTCAGGGAAGAACAGATTCCAACCCGATGCTCGAGACGCATGGTCAGGCTCCCCTTTTTATGCAAAGCATCCAACGTTTTGTTAAATCTGTTGTCGATCGACGCCGGTGCATGAAACAGCTGCATGAAGTGGAATTAACTAAAACAGCAAATGAGCTCCTTTTCCCAGAGTCCGAGGAAACCACGACTGCACCAGCTAATTGCGGCGCGCACTCGACACCTCGTAAAAGTCGTGAAAGGCATCCGAGAAACGCAGAGGCGACACCCCCACAACGTAAAACCACTCCCTCAAAGACGCACACCGACAACTTAAAGAAAAGCGGCCTCGAGGAGGCGGTAGCCAACGGAAATGCGGCGATGGCATGGACTAACCACCACGACATGCCGAAGCGAACATATTTCTTATGCGTTGAGACGAATCGTTTTGAACCCATCGTAAACAGAGGACTTTTTTAGTCATAGATTCGGTAAATTTAATATATATATATATATATATTTATACATCAAAAATAAAGTTGTAAAGGATTATATATACAGGTACAGATATTTTAATCAAAAATGAGTTTGTACAGGAAGACATTCTGTACGACTGCAAAAATGATCAGCTACAATACGCGTGCCCCGTCTTGTGGTTGTAGCCACATTTTCTATTTTACCAGAGTAATTACTCTGATAGCGAGCAAAATTATCAGGTACTTGGTGTATTGAACATGTTTCTGTGTAAAGATCATGGTGCTGTGTGAATAAGGAGGTTAAAGCGAAACGTTTTCTTGGTCCACTCATAATTTGTAAAGTTAGAAAAGTGATTTGGTAATAAGACCTCTTTCTCTAAGAAAAAGGGAACGAGAGTGTCTTCTCAGTTTTGCTTCCGTTATTTTCTGCAGCTTTAGAGTCATATTGTACAAGCGTTTTTCTGATTAGTATTATTATTGTATACTAAGATTCACTTTAACTGCGTCACTACAGACTCTTAGAGAGTATACCAAAGAACTTGTAGGAAAATGATGCATGAAAAGCAAATGAATCAAGATATAGCTGAGAGAGATGAGGTCTCATTGGAAATTCACGACTATTCGTGTACTAACTGGTTTGAGATTATGGTAGATGAAGTAGAAAGGTTTCTCGTGGAATCCTTTGAGAAATGTGAAGATCTCAGATCTTTTGCTAAGGAAAAAAAGCGACAGGCACAGCCGCCCCAGAAATCATCCGAAGATAACAACGGATCGGTCGCATTTTTCGCACTTGATTTATCGGAAAGGGAGAAAGGCGAGGCCGATCATGACGGCTTCACGGAGTGTAGGGCGTCGTGGGATCTACCGCCCCCATCTCCCTTTGTTAAAGAATGTATCTTCCCGATTAGGATCCAACGAGGCCATTCTCACCGAACTGCGGAGTTAAGAGCCGAGGGAACACACAACGAAACGGATCTCTCGTCGGGGGAGAATATTTGTGTGGAAATTCACGCCCATGACGCATCCCATCCGATCGCGCGTCTGTTCTGTCTGCCGCTTTTCTTTCTTATAAAGAAGGCAGCGCTGAATACTTATTATCGGACAAGCGAGTCCGCCCTGTACCTCTCAATTCTCTCCACTGCGGCAGGGAACGTCTTCGCAAACCGCCTGCAAATGTGTTTGAACGGGGGGAAAAGATCCCAAGGGGTGGATGCGCTGCCGTCCCTGTTTTCCTTTCACGATGGCTGCATCCCCTGCTTTGCCCCAACGGGAGATGAATATAAACAAACCTTTGAGGGATTGGCCCCACCAGGGCTGGGGTCGATGGCGATCCACGAAAATTATGCGGTTTCATCGCCTAGGGGATCACAAACCCTAACCCCTCACACGGACAATATCGCCGAAATGCTGCGATGCCCGCTATTGACCACGCGCTTTCGGTGCAACGCCTATGACCAACGCCCGGAGGGTCGCCTGCACCTTTCGGAGCTTGTGAACTTGTTTCAGCTCCACCTCGGCCCGTGTAGTCGAATGGAAATGTATGATTTCAAGGGAATGTGCATTTCCATCTCAAAGCAGTTTGAGCTTTCCGTACCCTGGCGCTTCCGACACATCGAATCCCATCCCGAATCCTCTGCACTGTCCACACTTAGGTCGACTAACGACACGGCGAGCGATGGCTACACGTGGCGTGATCTTCTAAAAGAAGCAAATAGGGAAATGCGACCACTCTGCGGGTCCCATTTCCTCCCCTTCGGTACTGACGTTGCGCCGATTGAAAACCTTCTCTTCGATTTTACGTGGAATCAGCTTCACGACTATGAAGCGCATGAGGATGCAAACTTTAGTCTTGTGGATCCGTTCGCTCTAGCGACTTCACCGTCCGCGGAAGAAGTCAATCGAAAGTGTTCTATCCTCGCCCATGCCGTTCCACGCTTTGAGCCTAGCCTTCACCATCCCTCTTGTGATGAAATAGACATATTAGGCAAAAAAATATTTGGCTACATGCAAGACCATCAGGATCGTATGCTACAACTTGTTTCTGTGCACGAAGCTCACGTAGACTACTTCAACGAATACAGTAGAGAATTACAGAACGAAGTTATGAGTTTCACCCCCCCAGGGAGTGAAACTCATCAAATCTTGATTAATGAACTCACTAAGGAGGATTACGGATGTGATGATGATAGCAGGACCAATGGAGGGGCTGAATTGCTTTATGAATTCTTACACAGACATAATCAACTTCCAGTTGGAGAACGAACAAGTAAAGGTTCAAAGCTAGGGTCTACAAAAGACCTTCGGTGTGCCTACTTTCCAGGCTCGTTACTCTCACGGCTGGTTCATGTGGTCATGAACAGGCCATGTGATGTGGAAGACATATTCGACGTTTGGAATAATTGTATGTGCGAGCTCAAAATGCGCTTTGATAGTGGTAAAAAGGAAGATATCGTTTTTGTGTTGAACTGTATCCGGCTTCCAGAGCGTGAGCCGCCGGTCGACCTCACACAATCTCTTTTAGTTCAGAAACTCCAACTATTGAATTATTGCATACGTGCAATGCTGTCAGAAGTAGATGAATGTCATCCACAAAACGCGTCAAAAGACCAAACCAGCTCAAGTGATAATGGCAACGATGAAAATAGGAATCCGAAGAGGCGACTCGAAGAGGATAAATCATTAGTTCCCCAATTGAATATGCCTATTGATTTGACTGAGCAAGTGCTTCCGGTACAGTCGGAAGTGTGCTCAAACAGCAACGGCTGGAATAGCCGTAATTCGAGCTTTTCAGATGAGATTCTGGCTCTCATCACAAACGGCGAACCGCTAGTGACCCCCCCGATCCTTCCACAGCTGCCTACCATTCTCGACAACATTATCCAACGCGCCTCGGATTTGAATAATATTAGCATCATCGCCACCGCACAACCCACCAGTGCGTGGCTTTATAACAATGAGCTCTACAACGACATGTGTCTCTTTCTCTACGTCAATGAGGCCCAAAATGGACGGGTGGTGCGCTTCCCTGACTTTGTGCACTGGCACAGCCCGCGCGATTTCAAAACCCCGAGTGCGCCGAGCCCCAACGATAACGACTACCTCTCCGAACGCATGCAAATACCGGCGCCCCGCGCGGAGCCCCAGACCGAGGCCGACGACACGATGACGAACGTGTGGTGGTTATTGTGGACCAACGCGGTGCCCCGCTCGAAGGCGCGGATCACCGCGGACTCCTTCCAACCACGGACGGAGGCGGGGCGGGTGCTGCTCTGGCTCGCCGAGGAAGTCCCGGAGGCGATGCTCCTGCTGGACCTGCTGAACGCCTCGCTGTCGAATGCCCTGCACCCGATGCTCTCCCACCGCATGGTGATAGGGCCAGGGGGGGGGGCCGCGCTGCGGGCCT